TTAAATTAAATTATAATAAATTTTTTTTAAAAAAATTACATAAAAAATGAGAAGTTTTAAATAGTTGATTTGATATTAACATTGATATATTTTCTTTTTCAAATTTTTATGTTATATTTAGATTTATATTTTATTCAAAAATAAAATCATTATTGTTTCCTTAAAAACACATAAAATCGTATTATAACATCGACAGAGACAAAGAATAAAATATAACATTAAAATCGAGATGTATCTCGCTGCATTGCACGAGTACCCTTCTAGTATTTATGTAATATATACTTTGGAGTTATCTTAAAATAAGTTATGTTTTTTTTTGTCGTTTAACGATTAACGGGTATTTAAATGTTTACCGGGATGAAACATCAGTCTCATTTATCTTATTATGTAACATTATCGGTCATCAAAGTGGATTATTGGTAAGCATAATAAACGCGTTTACCTGGTAAAAGTCATTTTCCTCATTTACCGGGTAAGACTTTTGTTCCTTGCTATACCTCTTACCGTGTAAAATTTTCGATTGTTGTCATGCTTAATTGGTAAGATAACATGGGCTTTAGTGACTCTTATGAATTGTAATTGGTCTTGATTAGCGGTTTTTAATGAACTGTATTGGGTCTTAATGTGTCGTATTAGACTTGTTTTGTGTTCTTGAAACCTTTTTTCCGAAGGGATGGAAAGAGAAGTAAAGTTAAAAAAAATTTGTGTTTTTGAAACTTTTTTAAGGGAAAGAAAATGAAGCGGAATGATAGAAATCATACGTTTCTTTCCAAAACTTTCCTTCCAAATGGTGTAGGAAAAAGAAGGAAAAAAAACAAAAAAAAACCTTTAAAAATATTATTAAAATTACAAAATCCGTGAACACAACGTTAGTGGTTGTTAATGAAATATATCGGACATTCACGGGGTTTATGACTTTTAATTAATTGTATCGTGCCTTGATGGTTATAGTAACTCTTAGGTGATGTTTGTTTTTTAAGAGGTGCTGAAATCTGAAATCTAATTTCACTTCTAATTACTAATAGATGGTGCTGAAATCTAAAATCTGAATCAATAAGACTGTTTGTTTTTGTAAACTGATAAATGTCTGAATTTGTTTAAATTGTCTATTTTACCCTTTAGAAAATTATAGTGTTGAATTTATAGATAAACTTATATAATTTCACATATTTATTCATCGTCATTACGAAATTTACATCTACATTATATAATTAAGATTCATTTAAACGAAAATATCATTAATGATATTTAACACATTTATATCCTATTAAAATACATCAATTGAGACAAGTCAAGATCAATTAATGTTAATTGATTGAGAAACATCATTGCTAAGAGTTTAAAGAACAATAAGAGAGAAATAAGAGGTTGGTTTACCTCTTTCTAAATAAGAGGAGAATAAGACACAAGTGTCTCTGAAAAATTAAAAAAAAACAAACAGTTTGAATCATCCTATCTCTTAAGGATCAAATATAATAAGCTGACAAGAGCTTAAAAAAATAGAAGAAATCATGAATCTAAAACTAAGGGGCCGTTTACCTAAACACTTACCCGATAAGCGCTTACTGGTAAAATTCAGCACTATCGCTTACCTATCGGGTAAGATTTTATTCACCAAAACGCATCGTATGCAACAATTTATCCTGGTAAGCGCTAACCATGGTAAGGGTTGCCGTCCTCACTTACCGGGTAAGACTCTTGATTCTTGCCTCCGCTCTTACCGGGTAAAATTCTTAGTCTTTGCCATAATCATTCGGTAAAGTAATGTGACTTGATAAGCGCTTATTCGGGTAAGGGTTTGATAAACGACACTTGACCCAACCTACAACCTCTAAAGATTAGTTCATTATAACGCAAAACAATAGAAGAAATCATGAATCTAAACAATTGTCTTTCAAACAAAAATCTAAAATTCATAAGAACTCCATTTGAACTGCAATACCCACGAAACGACAGATTGATCTTCGCTAAAGAAATGCTTCACAATGGTCTCGTTGCTTCAATCCGTCGCGATCTTGCTGAAAAAGTCTCTCCAAAATCGCCTCTTGTCACCCCTCTTTGGGATAAAATATTGGATGCCTCTGACCCTAGCTGTGATAGTGGGTTAAATCAACTTCAAAATTGTTGGCTAGTTTACTCATTAGTTTAAACCAGCGAACAAACTAGCCCGAGAATTCCAAATTAGCTTAACTCATCAAACTAGCTTGGTAAATAGCCCTGGTTACTATTTCGATTTTTCGTTTCATAGATGGTCCTTCGAAGTAGAATGTACTCGATTCCACCATTATTGCATTAAATTTGCTTTGATTGATCACAATTGTGACAGGTGCAATAAACTATAAAAAAGTACGCTTCTTTTACTTATAATTCAAGCACAAATATTATGGAAAGTGATGCCAAAATAACACCAAAATTAGTGTTATCAGTATATCTCGATTATGAATATTTATCTACGGAATATTCCTCCATCACTACTATCATTCAATGAATCAAACACAATTATTTGATGTGAAGAATGATGTCGATTAATATATAGTTTTACCTGTAATCATA